TTACTCCCTCAGATTGATCCATTGGACAGACTACCATTTACTGAGATAGTGGACCAAATTAATGATATATTGACAGCACTGAAACATGACATAAGTCATGGAATGTCTCCCGATGAAGAAGTGGAGGCTCTCATATCTCAAGGTAATGTTGTGACAAATATCATTTTCATTTATATCACTCTTAGTGATGTGACCCATAAAGTGCACTTGTCCATCTCACATAACTTGTGGGCAATGTTTTATGTAGATTGACAGAATGCAACATAGCCAAGGTGCATGATCTCGAGTTGATGAGTTCTTCTTCAATTAAAACTTCAACCCTACCAGGTAGAGCCACTAATTTTTTAGCCGTTAGGTATCCTGATTAAGTGATGAGAAGTTCTTTCTCAATTAAAACTTCAACCTTACCAGGTAGAGCCTCTAATTTTTTAGCCGTTAGGTATCCTGATTAAGTGACGAGAAGTTCTTTCTCAATTAAAACTTCAACCCTACCAGGTAGAGCCTCTAATTTTTGACATCATTGCAGAGTTGACTTACCATTAATATTGTATTAACTTTAATCTGATCATAATCCTGAATATTGGAGTTTAAGAGAAAATAACTGTTTCTAGTGTTGAGCACTGTATGTGACCAAGTTCTTATTGAACAGTGATAACAAAATAATTTAGAGCCAGTGGTTTTTAAATGTCATTGGTGTTTTTTTCTCATGCATAATTTAGTAGAGATAGAACAAAATAATGACAGTCACTGTTTCTCAAAAAATTTCAGTATTTGTTATTAAATATATGTATTTGTTTTCAATTAGCTCATACATAATTCATACATTATGTCGTACTCATCAAGCATTGTACTAAGATTGTGAAAGATCCAGTGATTAACACATTATTTGAGTGAAATATTTAGATAATAACACATGCTTGTGAGGGTAATATCACGATTTGTTGCCTGCCCAAAGGATGGTGGTCATGACCATAATATTGATGATGCCAGAGCCGAAGGCTCAAGGGCAGACAACAAATCGTAATATTACCTGAATAACCATGTGTTATTTATTTTAACACATCGAACAGACATCCACCATGCACAATCACATCTACCATACATAACTCACACCCACTCTCCCACAAAATAACAACACTTATTTTTGAAGTAGGCAATATTTTATTTTATCTATTATAAGTTTCACACTACTTAATAACACACATACATTGTTTGCTGAGAAAAATGAAATACACTCAGTAAATGTTATTTTCAGCCATGGATACTCTTTTTAGTAACCGTGTTTCAGCAGTGTGAATCACTCAATTTATCAAGAATAAGATTTTTGAAATGAATTGAGAAATTCTCAAACGCAAGTTATTTCATCAATCTCAAAATAAAAATGTCAGAGTGGAAGTGACTGAAATTAGTACCACACCTTCTATACACAAGTCACACAGTTTTCGGTTAGCATCGGTATGTAACGCGTAGAAATGCTCACAGCATAGAACATGCCGCAACGACCCCAGCTGGGACAGCTTTGCCGTACATTTTTGCTTCATATAATATCCATTCTAGTACTTTTGCTGTCTATTTCGGATGGATAAAGTTCCTTCAAAACCTTGAAAGCAACCCCGAAAACTATCCGGGGCAGCACCAGTGCAGCGAACGACAATTTGTTATGTGCAGTATTGTTGCGCAGTAGTTTCAGTGACGTCATCCATGTAATATTCCCATGTAATATACAGTATATCCATTTTTATTCATGTCATGTGACTGAGTCTCACCAATCAAAGCATGCATA